ACATGCAGATTGTTCCCGATTGGATTGCTATTATTTTGTGGAACGTTGAGCCGAATGGTTAACGGAATATTGTCGTTGTTTTATTTCAGAGACATGCTATGCATAAAAATGTAGGTCTGGGTCTTGTGATTCTCACAATATAAAGCTCTTTGCTGTAGGATTTATAGATTTTAAACTATAACCATTTGAAGTTGGCAACAACCAAAATACTCTGACCTGTGCCAGGCTGGAGCAGCAAGTGATGTCATAGACAGGGCCTTTTATACACCTGCTAATGTTTTTATAAATGTATGTTTTAATGTAACTGTGAAGCACTTTGGGCAACAACGTTACAATTAAATGTGCTATATAAATAAATAATAACAGTTACTCCGCCCACTCCAGTTGTAGACTACTGGTGGAGGCAAGAACACTTCACACAATTTCATCAGAAATTGTAGCTTTTCTAGTTAAGTGTTCTTGCATAGCAAGACCACTTAATGTTATCTCACATATATATTATTAAGTGTTCTTGCAAGAACACTTATTGTTATCTCACATATATATTATAATTCTTATTCTTATTATAGCCAAATTTGCCACCCTAACTCCTCCCACAGTTTTTACATTACATAGACCAAAATTTACCAAAACGTGCAGATTGTTCCCGATCGGATTGCTATTACTTTGTGGAACGTTTCGCCAAATGGTTCACGGAATATCGTTGTTCTTGTGGCGCAATTTGTCCCATAGGAATGAATGGCAAAGCTAGAGTGGGAGCTGGCAAAAGCTGAAAAATCAGGACATTTCTAAACTGCCACCACTCCCTTATTTTCAGGCCCACCTACACAAATCTTATATCAAAACGTTCAGCTATCCCTGCTGCCACTAAACATGTCAACAGCTAAGCCATAGTCCTGATAGTTTTCACAATATAATTATTTGTTTGCAACTAACGCCGTCCATTGACATTCATTGAAACTTCACTCTACAAAGCTCAAATTTGAAGTGCAATTTCTAAACTGCGACTGTGCCTTCATTTTTTTTTTTTTTGACATTCTTTATTTCTTCCATTTATTTAATACAGCACATTTAGTACAACACACAAATTCAAACATGTTTAGTAACCTTTACACAGGCAAGAAAGGAAGGACACAATATTCCACATAGGCCGACAATACAGCGTGATATCTGACATTATCTTTCCAAATGAATAGAACTAGAACTAAGACAGCACAGAGACAGCTTGGCGACAACCAGGGCCGCAATCCCAAGACAACCGGGGGACACATGGGATAGATGCGAAAAGCGGGGCGTGGGAAGCGCGGCTTTCCATGCTACATCGTGAGACGGGGGTTCTAATCTACATTTAGCATCTACTGCCATGCTCTTGGCGACCACCTAGTGGGCTAGCCCATGGCCCGAAGTCATAGTGGTATCCACCGACCCTCCAGACTGGTGTAGTGGTTCGTGTGAGATGTCTATAAACTGTAGGGTGCCCTCTGACGCCTCCGCACCCCCCCTCATCCCATAACGTGATAGGCTGGAGCCCCCTAGGGATCAAATCAGGCGCCATTGTACTTATTGAATCTGAGGCCCAGAGCGAACCAAGAGCGTGGTACTGAAAGTGTCAGAGGGCCTCCTCCCCGTCCACCGAGAAGCGTTGTTAGCCTCCCGCCCTCTGGCTGAATCCCCTCTGGCATGTGCACCTCCTACCCACCCCTAAGAGGTTCGAGAGCCCTGCCATCCCCCCCATCCCCCTGCGCCTCCGTGGACTAATTCCATTCTTTGCCCTGTGCTCCACTCCCCGTTCCCCAAACGCACTGCGTGCCAGGTTAGTGGATAAGTGAACTTGTGATCCTACTCCCGCGTAGTCGCCCCAATTTGTCGTCCGTCTGGGAAGTGGGGAGGGGAATGGGAGGGGAAATCGTAGTCATATGGATAGGGACCCCCAGCTGGTAGGTACTACGGGCATCTGTCAGTCCGTTGGGGATGGGGAAAGCTGTGCCAGTGCGGGAGCACCACCATCCCCGGTCCGGGCATCCCCCGCGGCCCCCATGGCCGTATACTCCATCCATGGAAACCATGTTAGAGCACATTTATCCGAGCGTCCCTGCAGAGACGCAGTCATCAATTCCATGTTGTAAATCATTTCCACCCTATCTATCCATTGGCGGAGTGAAGGGGCTACCTGGCTTCTCCACCTCGTGTGGATGAGAGATTTTGCTGCTGTAAGAAGGTGTATCACAAGGCCCCTTTTGTCGGCGGTAATTGGCATGCTCGTGTGGTTCAGTGGCAACGGCTGGAAAGGGATGTCCGTCCCAGTAACGTCTTTGATCCCTTGGTGTATCGCTCGCCAGAAAGGTTCAATGCGTGAGCACGACCACCAGATATGGATCCCAGTACCATCCGCGTCTCCACACCTCCAGCACTCCTCTGAGATGGACTCATGGACATGACGAAGGATGTCCGGGGTTCTATGCCAACGCGACAGTATCTTGTAATTGCACTCCTGGAATTTGGAACAGATGGTCCCCCTGTGCGTCAATTGGAAGATCTTTTGCCATTCTGAGGCAGATAGCTCGACCCCTGTTTCCCTTTCCCACCGTACCGTGAAGCCTAAGGGGCTCTGGTCCCCACCACTCTGCAGCATGGAGTATAGGTGCGATATGCCATGGATGAGATGCTGTCTGGCGACGCAGAGTTGTTCGAAGTGGGACAGTGGGCGGTGAGGGTGAGCCTTCCCAGCAAGCGAGGTTACATAGGCTGTAAGCTGGTAGTATCGAAAGTTGTCCAGAACGCTGGGTCCGCGGTCTTGGAGTAGAGCGGCCAGCAGTTTAAGGGCCGGTCCATAACACCACTGGTGCAGGTAGGTCCAATCCGTGGCCCCAAAGTTCCTCAGATCACCCGGGGAGAGTCCACCCGCCAGTCTTGGGTTATGCGTCACGGGCGTAAGTGGATTCGGCGATGACGTAAGTTGTTGAGAATACCGAATGCCGCACCAGACCTTCAGAGTTGCATCCATCAACGGGTTGCCCGTTCGCAGTTCCTGGAACGTGGCGTCCCCCAGCCACAACTGGGACGGGATTTTACCTCCCTCCGCCTGTTGCTTTTCCATGTCTACCCACTGTTTCCTGCTTGGGGCTGCATGCCAATCCACTAACCGAGACAGGTGTGATGCCCGGTAGTAAGTAAGGACTGAAGGCAAACCCATGCCTCCCTCACTTCTAGGGGGTTCCAGGATCGATTGCCGGATGTGGGCGGGTTTCTGGTTCCATACGAACTGCTTAAAGGCGGTCGACAATGTTTGGAAGAAGTTCCGAGGGATATTGACCAGGATCATTTGGAACAGGTACAATATTCGGGGCATAACATATATTTTAATGGCATTTATGCGTCTGAACCAGGATATATATTGAGGGGCCCAGCGCTTCATATCTTGTTGCAGGGCTGAGAGTATAGGGGCGTAGTTCATGGAATAGGCTTGAGCTAGGTCCCTCGGTAGCCAGATGCCTAGGTACCGCAATTTAGTCAGGCAAATCCGGAAGGGGAAGTGCGCCTGTATGTGTCTACGAAGGGCCGGGTCTCGCGTGAAGGGCATCAGTTCCGACTTGGCCAGGTTGAGCTTCAAGTTGGAAATTGCGCCATAAAGTTGGAAAGCCTCTAGTAAGTTCCGTAGTGAGATTCTTGGCTGTTCGAGGAGGAAGAGCATGTCATCGGCGTATGCCGCCACCCGATGCTCCTCCCCCCCACCCGGCATCACACTATGCCCCCGTCCCGTCTAACCGCCTCCAGGAAGGGCTCCAGGGTGAGGGCAAACAGGAGGGGGGACAGCGGGCAGCCCTGGCGCGTGCCATTGCAAATCTTGAACACACCCATGAGTGCACCATTCACCCGTATACGCGCCGTCGGTTTGGTGTACAGCGCCGCAACCCATGACCTTAGACCAGGTCAAAACCCCATGTACCCCAGGGTCTCCTGCAGGTAAGTCCAGTCAACTCTATCGAACGCCTTCTCGGCGTCTGTGGAAAGGAGCACCATCTCCTTCCCGTTGGTTTGAGCTACGCGGATAGAGTTGAGGGCCCGTATGGTATTATCACGGGCCTCTGGGCCGGTATGAAACCGACCTGATCTGGATGAACAAGCTCTGGCAAAGTCCTAGCCATCCGAAGTGCCAGTGCTTTAGCAAACACTTTAAGGTCCACATTAAGCAATGAAATTGGTCTGTAGCTGGCACAGTCCATGGGGTCTTTGCCCTCCTTTGGGAGTATCGTAACCGTTGCCCTCAGTGTATCTTCATGAAACCGGCTGTCAGCCCTGCGACCAGGCGGGGCAGGAGGATATCCCTGAAGGTCCGTAAATAAGAGGCTGGTAAACCGTCCGGCCCCGGCGCCCTATGAGCCTTGGTGGCCTTCAGCGCTCCCGCGAGTTCCTCCACCGACAAAGGAACCTCCTGCTCCGGAGTGAGTCTGCGTGTAACATGGGTTTGTAGGTACGCCACTATCCTCTCCTTGTGTAATCGTTCCTCCGATGCTGTGCGGTGTTGCGTTTGGTCGTAAAGTGCCGCATAGTACTCCTGGAACGCAGTCAGTATGCCATTTGGGAGGCGTGTAGTGTCCCCCCTCCCCGTGCATATTTTATGGACATGTTGCATCCTGCGCTTCTCACTGAGCATCCGAGCTAACAGCCTCCCGCACTTATTGGAGTGTTCGTAGAAGTACCTAGAGGCCTTCCTCGTGGTGAGCAGCAGCCCCTGCGACAAAATCGTTTTCAGTTCCCTGCGTGCCTCAACAAGTTGGAGGTAAGTGCCCTCATCTAGGGACTGCTTATGAATTCCTTCTAAGTCTGCGATGCGTGTTGTCAAGCTGGTAATGCGAGCCCGTCTGTCCTTTTTGCGCCTGGTGCTTTCAGTGATGAAGAAGCCCCGAATGACGCATTTGTGCGCCTCCCAAAGCCCTAAAGGGGTCGTATCAGAGTTGTCGTTGGTGGTAAAGTAATCGGTCAGGGCGCGGGTCGCTGACTGTGTGAGTTCTAAGTCAACCAGCATAGTTTCATTGAGCTTCCACTGTCGTTCACTGGGCTTAAATAGCGGGGAACTGGTATGAACCAGGACTGGTGCATGATCCGAGTGGCTTATGATGCCTATTTCCGATCCTTGCAAGAGGTTTAAAAATTCTTGTGCCAGAAAGATATAATCAATGCGGGTGTATTGTGCGTGCGCTGTAGAGTAATGGGTATAATCTCTCCCTTCTGGATTACAAGCCCTCCAACAATCCACCAATCCAATTTTGTGCATGGCGCGCTGGGTCAGCCGGATACTGTGAGCCAAGACCGCGATCATTCCCCTGGAAGTATCAAGCCGGGGATCCAGAGGGATATTGAGGTCGCCGCCAAGGACCAAAAGGCCCTCTCGGAATCTCTCTAATTTGGCCAATGTCCAGGAGAGGAAGGTGTGCTGCCCCCTATTTGGGCAGTATATGCAAGCGAATGTATACGCATGGTCCGCTATGGTGCCCTTTAAGAATAGGTATCTCCCCATTGGAACCATCAGGGACGCCAAATGGAGGAAAGGCGTCGTCTGGGCGAAAAGTATAGCCACCCCAGCTTTTTTGGCAGTTTGGTGATTAGCGTAAAATCCCAATGGGAATCGCCGATTCTCCAGTTTGGGCACATCTCCCCCTTTGAAGTGCGTCTCTTGCAGGAATGCCACGGAAGCTTTTGCAGCCCAGAGCTGCCGTAGCAACTGTGATCGTTTTTCGGGCATGTTGAGCCCATGAACGTTGTTAGACCAATTGGTCAGCCGCGCCGGAACGAAGCCCCAACCGGGCGCCATCACTGCAAAGGTGGGGCGACCCCGACCCAGCACAGGTGGAAGTGTGGGCGGGGGATAAATGTGGGAAAGTCCGGTACAGGTAGCAGTAGGAAGTAGTCTCACAGCCCTCTGTGGGCAACTTCGACCCTGAGCCGGGAGTGTATAGCCCTCCCCCGGGGATATTATACCCGCGTGAGGAACCCCGGCTCTATTTACAGTGAGGGTCTGTCACAGTGGGGAACAGAAAGACCCCTTACTGTCTTGGCGTTTCCGTAGGATGTAGTGGTTGTAACCGCCCCAGTGTCCGTCGGCACCCTCCCTGTGTCATATGTGCGAGTATCCAGATGCTAAGACAAAGATAACTGGAGGAAACTATGTGAACCATCTCCCATAACAACCCGCGGGGGGCCGGTATGCGTGTACCCCCGTCCTGGCTCCAGCCTGTGCCAAGGAGGGCAACTAACTTGTCTAGGGTCCCCGCCCCTCCCCCTTTTGACAGTAACACGTTTGTCCATAAGGACTCCCCCCTCTAGCCCCCTGCACCCCTCTGAAAGTCGCCTCACAGCCCCGGGCCCCCAGAGAACGCCCTCACACCCTACCGATGACTCTGGGATGCAACAAGGGTGGGATGCCTATATCACGCCTGGAGCCTGCCTGCGGACGGGGTGGTGCCCCCCTTTATGTGTGACTGAAACTCCTGGGCCAGCATCCTCCCGCCCCCTGCCGCCTGATATAGAGTTTGCCGTGGTGTGGGTCTCTCCCACCCCCCCCCCGAGGGGACTATGAGAGACATCCCCATCCCCCGTTGCCCCCCCTCCCCGTCTAGACCTCTCCCACCACCCACACCTCGCATTGGCCTGCCCCGCACCAGATCCAAGGCCCCCCCTCGCTCCCAGCTCAAAATACCCCCGACTCAACGGGAGCAGCCACCGTGGTTGACCCAAGCGTGCAAAGAAACTGAAATGAGAACCGCCGGGAGGTGGCGCTTCATCCTCCCCAGACCCCCACCCAGGCAGCCCAGCTAGGCAAAGCAAACCTTGGCACCCACCTGATTCCCCCCCACCTTAGGAAGAAGAAAAGGAAAAAAAAAAGGAGGGGGGAGAATATAACTTTGTCCCCGAGAGCCATCATCGTCCGCCGGTCCCCAATGGCCCCTGCAGTCTCACAGGCCCAGTCCAGCTCAGACCTCCCTGCCCACCCAACCTGCGGTGGATCCCACCCAGAACCTATCCCCTAAAGCCCCCAAACCCGTGGAGCCCTTTCCACCCCACCTAACTGCATACCCCCTGCCGTGCAACTAACTTCTGTGAAGAGCTGTCCACCACAGTACATACCCTGGCCAGGGAGGCCCAGACTTCATGACCGGGCAGCCAAAAATCCCGCCAATAAGAAGCTGAGGTCCGATGGGAGTCCCGACTGATCCGGCAGCCTCCCCGGGTGCCCGCCACCAGGGCTCAACAGATAGCAGCTACTCTTCTGGGCCATTCGGCCCTCCTCTGCGGCGTGGAAGCTCCAGTTCCAGATGAAGGTTATGTGCTGCCTCCTCGGGACCCACAGCGCGAGCCGGAGGCCCCACCAGGATCCAATTCGGGATGGCGATATGAGGGAGGCCAGCATTCCGGGGGACATCATTGGGCCATTGGAGCATATGCCACATATTGCCCACCCGGGCCTGCAGGCTAAAGGCGAAGCCCCACTTGTATGGGATTCTTCTTTCCTGGAGCAGGCGGGTAAGCGGCCTCAGGGCCCGCCGGGCATCCAAGGTGGTCTGCGACAGGTCATGATACAAGGCCACCGGGGCATCCATATAGCGGAGGTCAGGGCGGGAGCGCGCGGCCTTCATCAGCTCTTCCTTGAGCGGGAATGACGCCAGGGCGCAAATCAAGTCCCTCGGCACACCATCACGCCGGGGCGTGCGCAGAGCCCTATGTGCCCGCTCAATGCCGAAGTCTTCTGGCGCCGCCTCCCCCAGTAGGTGCGAGAACAAGCCGGTAAGTAGCTCGTGTGGCAGCTCCCCTTCAGCCTCCGGCAACCCCAGGATCCTGATGTTGTTCCGCCGACCTCTATTATCGAGGTCTTCGACCTGACGGCGGAGGTCTAGGAGTAGGTTCCCCTGCCTGGTGATCGCCAGGTCCACTGCTTGCTGTCGGCATCCAGGGCATCTACGCGGTGCTCCAGGGCGGTAAGATCCGCACGCACCGCGGCAATCTCCTCCCTAATCAGCGCCCGCAGCTCGGCCACCATTTCGGATTTATCTCGCCTGGTTAGCATGCTGGAGGAGATAACGGCTCTATCTAGCGAGATTTGAGACAGGGCCGCCGGCTCACTGGTGCCGCGGGACGAGCCAGCAATGCTTGAGCCGGGCGAGGCGGGAATCGATGGCGTCCGGCAGACCCTGCGGCCCAGCAAGGTAATCATCCATCGGGCCGGTTTGGGACCGTAACAGAGCCCCACCGGGCTGCCCAGAACTTAGTGCTCGTTTAGTTTTCCCCATAATAACAGGATTTGAAAGAGTCTGGATGCTAATTATTACGGGCTATACAGGGTGAGGCCTAGGAGCACAGGCACCGTGCGTCTCACTCCATCCGTGGTCAGGCCACGCCCCCCCGTGCCTTCATTTTTAATACTTCAGAGACATACTATGCATCGGAATGTAGCTCTGGGTCTTGTGATTCTCACAATATAAAGCTCTTCATTGTAGGAGTTATAGTTTTTAAAATACGACCGTTTGAAGATGGCAACCGCCAAAATACTCTGACCTGTCCCAGGCTGCAGCAGCAAGTGATGTCATAGACAGGGCCTTTTGAACACCTGCTAATGTTTTTATAAATGTATGGTTTAATGTAACTGTGCAACAACGTTGCAATTAAATGTGCAATATAAATGATAACAGTTACTCCACCCACTCCAGTTGTAGACTACTGGTGGAGGCAAGAACACTTCACACAATTTCCCCAGAAATTGTAGCTTTTCTTATTCTTATTATAGCCAAATTTGCCACCCTAACTCCTCCCACAGTTTTTACACTACATAGACAAAAATTTACCAAAACGTGCAGATTGTTCCCGATCGGATTGCTATTACTTTGTGAAACGTTTCACTGAATGGTAAACGGAATATCGTCATTCTTGTGGCGAAATTGGTCCCATAGGAATGAATGGCAAAATTTTCAAAACTAGAGTGGAAGCTGGAAAAAGCTGAAAAATCAGGACATGATTTCTAAACTGCCACCACTCCCTCATTTTCAAGCCCACCTACACAAATCTTATATCAAAACGTTCCGCTATCCCTGCTGCCACTAAAAATGTCCGCGGCTAAGCCATAGTCCTGATCGTTTTCACAATATGACCATTTGTTTGCAACTCACGCTGTCCATTGACATTCATTGAAACTCCACTCTAGCCAGCTCAATCTTGAAGGGCAATTTCTAAACTGCGACTGTGCCTTCATTTTTAATATTTCAGAGACATACTATGCATCAACATGTAGATATGGGTCTTGTGATTCTCACAATATAAAGCTCTTAGTTGTAGGATTTATAGTTTTTAAAATACGACCGTTTGAAGATGGCAACCGCCAAAATACTCTGACCTGTGCCAGGCTGAAGCAGCAAGTGATGGGCCTTTTGTACACCTGCTTATGTTTTTATAAATGTATGTTTTAATGTAACTGTGAAGCACTTTGGGCAACTAAGTTGGAATTAAATGTGCTATATAAATAAATAAAAGTTGAAATGCATTTCTCACTCTATCAAGCTTGCCATGTGCACTTTTTAAATTTGAGCAATCAATTGGTTAGTATAATGTTTACTATCTTTACTCACTCCAAACACTCCACACAGTTACTCTGCCCACTACAGTTGTAGACTACTGCTGGAGGCAAGAACACTTCACACAATTTCCCCAGAAATTGTAGCTTTTCTAGTTTTTTATATATTTTTCGTGGGGTTGAACCTAAGCTTTAATACTTGTTTTCTCATGGGAGGAGAGTGCCAAACTTGCCCTTAATAAATAAATAAATAAATAAATAAATATATATATATATGGCGTGGCCTGAAGTTGTGGGAAGGGCTGGGTTACCCTTCTTAAGGGACTCCAGACCCTTCCCTCACTACCTGTTAGGTTCGACGGATTGCTGGGGAAGTATTCGTCACTTCCGGTTTCGGACAGCAGTTTCCGGCGGGCTCGTGCGCGTTAGGTCGGGCAGTTTCTCCGAGGCATCCAGGATTACCTCCGGATACCACGGGCTGGTGCGCGCTAGGTCGGGCAGTCGGCGGGCAAATTTTCACGCTGCAAATCGTAAGTTAAAACGTCCGTCGCATATTTGGCGGCGCGGCCGTTTTACGTCATCACTAAGGGTCAATATGCTACACGCTCACAAGTACTAGTATAATACAATGTTATACAACAACCTATTCACGTCTTGATACTTTGTCACATTATAAGCACACGTATGCTTATTTCTCACGTTACTTTTATTCTTGTGTCCATTCAGTACAACGCTGTTACTTAAAAGCATACACTGGTATAGGCACCAGAGCGACCTCTGGTGTCTAAAAAATTGTGATTTGAGTTTCTTGTACCTGTTCTGTCATTTATGCTATTTTAAGTTTCATAAAAGTTTACAGTTATTTAAAGCAAGTTTGGCATATGGGGTTACAATCAGTAATGTGTGCAGATACGTTTTATGTGGGGCACGTATTTTAATACAATTATTAGGCTGCTAGCCTAACAATGACTACGGATCTTGGTATTGGGAATTTATATATATGCATGATTAGCACTTAAGATGTCTTTTAAACTCTTTTCAGTATTTTCTCTGCATTCCCACGGTGGGCAGCTATTCTAACAACTTGCACAGGACTTAGGTCAGTTCACTCGAGTTATTTTCTACTTAAGTCACCCTACGCCAGGGTCCTTATATGTGTTTTTCTGTATTTTAGGTATAGGCATCCTTGCTCTTTTGTTAATTGGTGCCCAGCCCTCTGCTAGGGCAATATTGCTGGTAGGTATCTGAATAACAGGGGAGTTAGGGGTCATATTTCTGTGCCCGTACAAATGTATATTACTTTCGTAGGTGACTACAGATCGTCTGTACCTCCTTTTCCTCATAATAGCTGTCAACCCGCTCATCAGGTACGTCATATCTTTTCGACTATTTTCCCATACCTTCCCTTTCGGTTTAGTACAGATTTACTGGCTTACAATAAATAGGACCCACTAGCTACGTTTTCTGGCCTCTTATGCCTTACGTTAGTGGTCCCGTGAGGCCAACACCCATCCTCATTTCGGAGGTACGGCATCCCCTCGGGCCCATTCATAGCTAGCCGCCTCGCTTAGTTGCATAGAGAGGGCCTCACTTGTCACTCCCATTCTGTCTTATGCTGTTACAAATCACAGAGAGGCCTCCACCCCGCCATAATGCCAATGGCTACGTACTCCACACGAGCCAAATCATAGATAGCGCCTCTCATAGCCGCTTGGCTACTAGCAGGGCCTCACCTGTCACGTTACTTAATAATTCTTCGCCGCTTGGCATTAGTTATCATAAGCCAGTTGGATAGCACCCCAGGTAACATGTAATTTTTATGTTATAGCATGTCCCAAGTTCCGGAAGGAAGGGAAGTTGAGTCCTTACCCAGTACACCAGCTAGATCAGTCACTCCGTCTCGGGGTGATGACATCGCAAGCCCTGCCTCACTCAGGGCATGGACTATTCCCAGGATCACGGCCGAATTAAGGAAGAGAAATATTCCTTTCCCTGCTACAGCTAGGAAAGCAGAACTGTACAGATTGCTGAACACACAGACTGATAACGCGAGGGCGGGTGAAGGGTCCAGTGGCACCCAATCTTCAGATCTGAATACGATTCTGTCCTCAGTCCTGACCTCTTTGGGTCGTATTACTGACAAACTAGACAAAATGGATGCAGAAAGCCAGCAAAAGTCGCTGGCTGCTGCAGTGGATCCGGCTGCTTCGGTCCATTTGGACCCCCTACCGGGTAATTTACAAAATAGGTTAAAAGACCCACATATTATTAACCCTGCACACATGGTGCCTGCTAAAACAAAGAAGGACATCTTGGAAGGGAAAGATATCAATTTGGTATCACTTTTGATAGCCTCACAAGATGTCCTAGAGAATAAGACCTACGCATACGGTGATGTGTCAGTGGTATTGAAGTCCAGAGACCCCAGGTTGAATCAGAAGCTATCAATTCCAGAATTTGTACTAGCTTTCGGTATATACAGAGATGTAATATGCTCGGTATACCCGGATAGGAGGGAGGAATTGGACCTGTATCTCCACAAGCTGGTGGATTTGGGGCAGAAGTACGGTGGTACGTCTTTTTACGACTACCACCGTGCCTTTTCCGCGAAGGCGTCGGCAGCCCTTTCACAGTTCAATTACCAAACGGATTGGGGCGTCCTGGATACAGAGCTTTTTTGCCGGCACTTCGCGGGCCTAAAAACCCCAGCTTGTGCCATTTGCTCGTCCAATTCCCACACGGCTAATCTGTGCCCTAATTCTCCAGAGGTAAACGCTGTTTTTCCACCTCCTAATGTTGTACCCACAGGGAGACCTGGCAGGGTGCTTAAAGATAAACTAGGTGACATAGTGTTTTTGGGTAAATCGCAGGTCTGTAACAATTTCAACTCCGGTTCCTGCGGTTACAGTGCCTGCAGACTTCTCCATGTTTGCTCACTATGTTTCAGAGCTCACTCCAAGGCAATGTGCCCAAATAAACTATACCCTAAGCAGTACTTATCGTCTCTTCATGTCTCCCTACTGAAACAACTTTTACGTGATCACCCTTCCCAACATCTCGTTGATTTTTTGGTGACAGGGTTTAAGATGGGGTTTCACACGGGTATTATTCACATGCCCACGGGGATCCTAGAATGTAATAATTTGCAGACAGCCTTGGCAGCACCCAACACTATTGACTTACTCCTACAGAAGGAAATTGACCAAGGTTTCTTATTAGGCCCTTTCAACCCCCCGCCTTTCGCAGTTTGGAGGACAAACCCCATAGGACTGGTCACCAATAAATCCTCCAATAAACAAAGATTAATTCTCGATCTGTCCGCCCCCCATGCATCTCATACCCCAAGTCTAAATTCACTAATCCCGTCTGAGGAGTTTTCCCTCCAGTATGCCACCATAGATAATGCAGTCACAGCCATACTCTCAGCAGGGGTAGGGGCATGGCTGAGTAAAACTGATATTGCCAACGCTTTTAAGCTGCTCCCTATCCACCCATCCCTATGGCATTTACATGGTGTTAAGTGGCGAAGTTAATATTACTTCTTCACGCGTCTCACGTTTGGCTCTAAAAGCAGCCCCAGGATTTTCGATATCTTCGCTGAGACGTTGTGCTGGATGCTGCTTAACATCTGTAAATGTCCCACAGTTATC